CGTAACATTTTTTCTCGGCTAGTTCGAACGAGTTCTATGGTGACCGTTGTAGTGGCCCATTGCCCAACGACTCTAAACGACTAGTTTTTTTTAATTCAGGAGAACTTGTTACGTTGAAGTGATGAGTTTTATATTTTTTTTCTTTTATAAAATTATTTAATTAATTTAAAAAAATTAATTTATGTGACGAGTCTCTTTAAATATATTAAAATTATGGCCCACATGGGGCCCACTTAGCTGGGACCATTAAAATAATATATCCAACCGAACTCGTCACCTCAAGGTGACGAGTTTCCCCTGTATTGTAACATTTGTCGTAGATTGCAAAATAAAATCTGAAGTGCCCTATTGGGCCAAATAATTTTTTGACCCTTAGTATTGGGCCAAAAAACCCGAGAATTCCACTTGTTAAAAGCCCACCTGGACTAAATGCTTAAATTATGTCAAAACTATATGTCAAAACTATAATACATGGACTAAATTTTCAATTTGTGCATGATAAAAAACTAAAACCATGATTTGACCTTTTGAGAACTTCTATCATATTTGTTTTTTGAAATGAGGTCCTCATTAAAAACCCTTTCTAAACCTATAAGGGGAAAATAGTACCCACAAGAACTTCATTACTAAAAAGAATACTCACTCAATACATCATTTCGAATAATCTTGGGACAAACCGAGTCAAAATACATGGCATTGCCAATACTAGTAGCCCATGTGTAAGATTATGAGCAATCATATTACAAACATATATCGGAATTGAGAAACCTTAAAAGGGAGGGGATTCTTAAGGATAATCCTCTATAGTTAAGAACATGCGATAACGAATTTACTTGATAAGAATTATCAAAGAAAGTATTTACTAAATTCAAATAAAAAAAATGATTAGTTTTAAAAAGATGTAATACAATCGAAATCTATACCTTTTAGACATATTTTACTGTTACATCAGTAACATCTAGCTAGCTAGTAGTAACATTTTTTTACGTGTGTACCTCCTTTCTTTTCTCCCTAACTTCTCGAGCGTCTCTTCTCCCCTACTCTACTTCGACAAATATTGTAAGTAAAACCCCAAAACTCCCCCTGTCCCTCACTTTCATATATAATTCCCAAACTTAATGGATTAAATATTATTTTCTAGAATTTTTTACGTAGATTTATCTGTCTTCAAATAATAAAAAAATTTCCATCTTATTCCACTTACCTTATTTTGTTATTTTCTATAAAGGTTAATTTTTTATCTAAAGCTAGAATCTGATACTTCTTTCGAAAACATTTCTCGATGTTCATTTATGTCTCTACTGCTTTGATCTCGTCAATGAGAATAAGGATACATCAATCCAAAAATTGAGTTAACACCCCCTCCGTCGTTACTGACTCATTTAAAATTGACTCGGGTTATGAGTTATAGAAACAATCTCAGATGAATGCTCAGATGAATCTAATCTCATGAGAAGAGATTAAGGAAGAACAGAAGAACAAAAGAGAAAAAAATAGGAAAGAACTGAAGAACAATATTGAGGAAATATATCAAAAGAATGAGTAGCTTTTCATAATATTCATAAAACTTGTCTACTTGGCCCAAAGTCACTACAAGCCTATTTATACAGACCCAAGAGATGTAAGACCCCAAAGTAGTTATAACAACCATAACTACTTTTAGTTGCACGAATATACATATAAAATATACTCTTATCATTTTCCCGGTTCCCCTTGCTCTTGACTTGTTTCAGCAGAGAAAACTCCAAACTTGTCACTCATTTGCTCAAACAGAGATAGAGGGATAGGTTTGGCCAATATATCTACAATCTTCTCTATAGCAGGCATGTAATTGAAAAGAAGTATAGCCATAGCAACCGTCTTAGAATGCTCAGTAATCTTGTCGGGCAGCCTAAGCGTATCATAACAATTCCTTCTAGAATTAGAATAATTTCTTGCTATAGCAAAAGACTAACCTTAGTGCTTTGTGAAAAGTCTGAGTATGTGAGGTTATTCTGAATATATTTGAGTCAACTTTTTCTTTACCTTGGTGATTTTTATTTGTTACTTTTGAATATTTTCTTTTCCTCGACCAAAATTTTCTACAACCATAATTCACAATATTCTCTTTCTTTAGCAACGTTTTGACACTTGTACGTATAATCCATTGCTAATTGTTTTTTTGTTTTGACAAGAATTCAGGAACTAGCTCGTGACAACTATTTCTAGTTGTGGTGAAACATCAAAACCCCTACCAATACCTTAGGAGACGATTACTCACTTACCCTTTATTACTTGATTTGACTGTGTATACTTGCATATATGTGCTTACCTTATAATATATGTTTACAATCGATCATAAATGCATAGGAAAAATAATACCTAATGTAATAGAGGAGTTTTGTTGGCAGTACGACTACTGCAGCGTCGTTTTAGAGGGGGCGGACTATCTGATGTATCACTCCCTAAAGAGATGGGAGTAGAAATCTTGGATGTGTATCCCAGGAGGAATTTGATGCGATGAGGCGTGCCAGTAGTTGGTTGTGCTATTGTCGGAGATGGAACAGTTGTGCTTGCACTTTTGTTTCTAGAACCGATTCAACATTGTGATCTGGGGGTTGAACAAGAGTTGCATCTTCTGAGAGTGGCCTGTCATAGACTGGGGTAGAAGAGGTAGAGGGCTGATAAGGGAAGGGTACTCCAAAATCTGAGGTGAGGGAAAAATCATCATTATCAAATAATTCAGGGGTAATCTCTTGTGTATGATCGGATGATGAAGAAGAGTATTTCAAGGAGTCATCACTGTGGCCTTGACCTCCCCCATGGATCGGTGAGAAGTGAGTGGCCAATGGGATAACATCGATGAGGGAGCTAGGTCGGAAATATTTTTCCTTGACAAAAGTTGTGCTTCCGTCTTCTTGAGAAGATGGCCCAGCTTCAGCAGCTGGGTGAAGAATGTCCTCTGGGAAAGATGGGAGGTCATTAGTAGTCACTGAGAGTAATTTCTTGAAGAACGTGTTGATCTGGGCATCCTTTGCCTTGACGTAGCTGAAGAAAGCTTGCATATGGCCATCTAAACGCTCGAGCCTCTATCGAGTCTCCTGTGTGGTTGTGACCATGGTAGCCATCCTCCCCGTGACAACCGATTTTTCTCCTTGATCCAAGCCTTCCTTTGGTGCATTTTCGTCAAAGCTCATTAACTCTGACACCTTCTTTCTAGTGATTCCCTCCTTAGGCTTGATAAATTCCTTTAAAGGCTCCTCCGGGACCTTTTTCTTCCTAAACAAAGCAGTAATCAAGTTACAGAAGAGAAGCTGACCCCTAGTCTGCCTATCGCACTCATTGACCTGTTCGGATATGATCTCGCCCACATTTATTGAGTGCCCATTGATGATCTAGTGGAGTAACATCAGATGATGCAACAACACGGTAGTGTTGTGCGATGTAGGTATGAGCTTGGCCTTGAGAAAGTGATTCTAAAGTTTGGCGAGGGGCGTGAGTGTTTAGTCATCTACTCACTTGCGATTAGGGTTGTTATCCTCAAATTTGGCTCAACTGAATCAGAAATACTCTAACACCCCTTCGTAAGTTTCATAGTCGACCTCGACGAAGAACTTCTTATGTTGATCTTGCACCTTACCCAACTTGAAGTAGTGGTTGATACCGCTGGGGGTGAAGCGAATGAGAGTCCCCCAATCATAGATGGTGTGCTGAGAGAGGTCGTCTAAGTGGACATAAACCTCACAGACCATGACAGGCGCCATCGCCTTGGGGTGGCGGGTAAACTTTTCTCAGTTGTGTTGTGCAATGATGTTCATCACCTTTGGCATAAAGGTTCCTCACATGGGCCATAAAAAATGAAGCCGTCCTCCAGATATACTTGTTGTGTCTAGATCGTCATAAACCTTGCCTCGGCTGTTGGGTTTTGAAACTGCTTAAATGCACTTGCTACGGAAAAAGAGGAAGCAGAGGTGCTCGAGTTCTTTCTCGAGCGAGCCATGTATGTTTGTTATGATAGGATTTTGAGATAGCAAAGGATTTCTCACAGTGATGGTGGAAGGAAGAGTGAAGAAGAAGAAGAAGAAGTTAAAAGGTAAAAGTGAATAAAGAAACCGGTGAAGAGCAAAATAGGCGGTTTGTGGGGGAAATGTGGATAATGAGTGGTTTCTTGAGGGTAAAACGATTAAAGAGATTAGGGAAAAAGTTATGAAATCAATGAGAAAGGATTTAGAGGTTGAAAAGTAAGAATAAAATATTAAAAGAAAATAATTTTTGCCTCCAAAAGTGTCATCCAAACTCTTTTTTTTAGGGTTTCTCTTTCTTCTAAATTTGAAATCCATCCCTATACTGTCACCTATCATCAAATCACTAAAAGAGACAAAATAAAAGAAACTAATGAGTGTATAATAAAATAGAAACGATTTATTTATGTACATAATACAAATTTTTGTTATCGAGGCAACAAAATTTGTTCAGGCAAGAGACACAAACTCTTGGGCGTCAGGAGAAAGTGACGCATATTTATCGCGCAGAATGGTGCTCCTTTGTACTCCTTGAGGCGTTAACCATTCACCTTAAAGATTGACCCATCATTAAGCTTTGCAATTTCAATTGCGATGTGACTAAGCATGTGGTGAACTATAAATGACCCTGACCATTGGGATTTCAACTTGCCAGGAAACAACTTGAGTCTAGAGTTGTAGAGCAAGACCTGTTGCCCAGGAAAAAACTGCCGAGGCAAAATTTTTCTGTCATGCCATCATTTTGTTTTTTCTTTGTAAAGGCGAGCACTTTTATAAGCTTGAGCTCTAAACTCATCCATTTCATTCAGTTCCAACAATCTTCTTTCTCCTGCAAGATGAGCATCCATATTCAATTTCTTGATGGCCCAAAATGCTTTATGCTCAAGTTCCACGAGCATATGGTACGTCTTGTCGTAGACTAGCCTAAATGGGACATGTCGAGTGGATTTTTGAATGGGGATCTAACGAATTACTGATATCACCTGCCAGTTGTACGACTGACTTCACGTGTACAGGCCCCTAATATTCTGACCATATCCAACCGCCTTTCCATCTATAGCATTGACAAGTTAAGTTGGATATTTAGGGAATATTTAATTACATAAAACCCTAAAAAAATTTCCCTAATAAATACTCAGTCACAGCTACCAATAATATGAGGCAAGGAACAAGAAAATTTACCTGAGGCGTAGAGTAAGCAACTACAGTACCTTACCTTCCACCATTCTCCAACCCAACTGTCCTTGGTGCCCTCCACATCCAAGCTATAGTAGAGCGACAGTCAGCCTCGAGAGAGGCTGGCCACCAGAGCAGCGCAGTGCTGGTCAAAGCTGTCACGGTAGAGCCCCCTATTTTGGGAGTCATTCTTCCTTTGTTCTTAATTTCTTTAATCTATTTTGGGGTTTATATTAAACGATGATACTCTTGGATGACACTTTGACAACACCATGAATTGCTTTATTTTGTGTTGGTTTTTTATTGCCGAGATAATTATTTTATGGTTCATGAATGATGCATTATGATTTTGTGTACGTCTGTTTTGTTCATTGTTTTAATATTTTGCCTTGTCATTTTAAGAGCTTTCGAGAGATGTCTTGATGCCTAGGCGAAACACTTCTAGACCTTGTAAGATCTTTCGAGAGATTTCCATTTTTCTAGAATTGATTCTTAGATTCGAGAGAATTAAGATAGATCTACATGAACAATGGAATAGATTCGGGATGATGATGTTCTAACATGCCTACCTTAGAGATAAGGAGAGAGTTTCAATCAACTGAAAAGGATAGATGCTTGAGTAGGATAGACAATGACTATAGTTTACGCTGAGGGGTATTGCTACAACAACAGTCTGACAAACCAAGGGTTGTAGTTAACGCTAAGTAGTATTTCCATAGCAACCATCTTAGAATACTCAGTAATCTTGTCGGGCAGCCTAAGCATATCATAACAAATCCTTCCAGACTTAGAATAATTTCTTGCCATAGCAAAAGACTAACCTGAGTGCTCTATGAAAATTCTGAATAAGTGAGGTTATTCTGAATATATTTGAGTCAACATTTTTCTTAGCCTTGGTGATTTTTATTTGTTACTTTTGTATATTTTCTTTACCTCAACCAAACTTTTCTACAACCATACTTCACAATATTCTCTTGCTTTAGCAACACTTCGACACATTTTCGTATAATCCATTGCTAATTGTTTTTCTGTTTTGACAAGAATTCAGGAACTAGCTCGTGACAGCTAAATCTAGTTATGGTGAAACATCAAAACCCCTACCAATACCTGAGGAGACGATAACACACTTACTCTTTATTACTTGATTCAATTGTGTATACTTGAACAGATTTGCTTGCCTTATCATATACGTTTACAAGTGATTAAGTTTTTTGTGCCGTTGTCAGGGATTTGCAACTGACATAATTTTTGAAATTTTTTGCCATAACAAATTTTATTTATTGTGACATTTTACTTATTTAGTTTAACCTATTTAATTTTTTTTCTTTGAAGGTTTTTATCATTGCATGACCCTGAGATCTACTGGTAAACCACTAGAACCATTTGACCCTGAGATTGAATAGTCATTCAGACAAAAGCGACGTAACCAATGAGTTAGAGAGTATATGAATCGACTATATTATCAAGGCGACAATAATATGGGAGATCAGGTAAATCCTGAAATAGTGGCAAATAATCTTCCTAGAGAAACTGCAAGACCATGAACAATACGAGACCACTTGAATTCGATTCTAGATGATCTCAATCCAGTCATTGTGGCACCTGAAATACAAGCAACTCATTTTGAACTTAAACTGATGATGTTTAACATGCTAAACTCCATCGGTCAATTTGGTGGCTCGCCTAATGAGGATGCTAGATAGCATGTCCGTGCCTTTCTTGAAGTGTGTGATTCATTCGGGCAACAAGGAATGCATGAAAATGTGCTGAAGCTTAAACTTTTCCCTTATTCCATATGTGATTGAGCAAGAGCTTGGTTCAGTTAAGTCCCTTCGGGCTCAATGGAATCTTGGGGGGATTTATGCAAAAGTTTTTTACTTCGATAAAACCCTCCCAATATGAACACACATCTATTCAATGATATTGCAAGTTTTCGCCAAGGAGACAATGAATCTATGTACGAATGTTGGGACAGATACAAAAGTTTGCTTAGCAAGTGCATGAACCACATATTGTACGACTAGACTCAAGTTGTGATGTTTTATAATGGAGTTAATGCACCTACTCGAATGATGTTGGATGCCTCAGCAAATGGCACTTTGCTTGATAAATCACCCAAGGAAGCCTTCGATATCCTCGACAGGATAACGAATAATGTCTATCAATTCCCGACAAGAAGACTGGGAACCGGTAGAAAAGTATCTGGAGCATACGAAATTGAGCGTAAATATTCAGTCTCTGCTCAACTTTTTTCCATAACTAATATGTTGAAAATTTTGCAGCGTTCTAATGAGGTGGGAGAAGTCAAGGCAACTAGTGATGGATGCATTCTTTGTCGTGACAACCATCATGAAAGTGAATGTCCAGAAAACCAGGAGTCCATCAATATTGTGAGCAACTACAACCGAAGTAATATCAATCCCTATTCTAATACATATAATCCTGGATGGTGACAACATCCAAAATTTTCATGGGGTAATCAAGGAACTAACAAAAACAATCATGTAAGCAATTATAATATACCATAAAAAAATAGTTCGGAACATCAAAATTTTCAGCATCAGCACCAGCAGATGCCCTGAAAACATAATAAAGGTAAAACTTATTCCTCTAATACAAACTTTAATTCTAACTCTTTAGAAGTGTCATTGCAAGAATTTATGGCCTTGACAAAAGATTTCATGGCTTCAACAAAGACTTTGATTCATGAACAATCATCGACAATTAAGAACCAAGGTAATTTGTTACAAAGCCAAACAACTCTTTTGCAAAGACATAGTTCCTTGTTTACCACCCTTTAAAGAAACAATATAAAGTTTGGGTCTTTGTTCTTTAACATTGGTTCTTCTTTGAGTCTTCTTTGAGATACTACATTTCATCTTCATCTCCATCACCTTTATTCTACTTTCATTACCATACTTCATCATTTCCTTTAAACATATAACCAACTTATATATATATTCTGCTCCCATATTTATCTTTCCATTTCATTACTTTCATTTAACCATTTTATTTTTTAGCTTTCTTGTTTGTGCGGGATCCTTGTTGCTTTCCTAGATCAAAATAATCATAAGTGCAACCTTGATTTCACTATCCATCCAAGTGAGGTTAGGTTGAACTGTATCATATGATATTCAGAGCTAAGGTGGATTGCAACGAGAACAAGTAAAAGTAACATCCTACCATTTAAAAAGAAAAAAAAACAGCAAGCTAATCCCAACAACTACAAGGGATTCCAAGTGAAGACAAAATATAGAAAGGAAACAAAGAAAGCAAAATGCAAAGAAGTACCAAAGGTGACAAGAAACATTATCATTCTAACCGAGCCTAAACAAGCCTTCAAAACCTTTGATTGTTTCTTCTAGGAAGGTGATGAGTATCTTTGCATAGTAAGTGAACCTTTTTCTTTTTTTTCTTTTTCTAAGACAACGTTCATTATTTAATCTTTCTACCTTTCTATTTTTTCCTCTACACAAATGAACTTTTTAGCCGATGTCCATAGCACTTGAAAGTTCTTGAGTTAGTTCTTTTAAGAAATTTGAAAGAGAGGAAAGAGTGAAAAAAAGGCTAAATGAGTATGTGAGATCAAAAGGGGAATTACAAAAGCCAATTTATATTCCCGAGTGAAAATACGAGCGTTGAGTGGAGCGTCATCATTTTTTTGAAGTGATCGTGAGTATTTGTGAGTGATTATTGGTAAGGTCCTTTCATCTTATTCAATTATTAATTTTTCCCTAACAATTCTCCCATCTTTCAAATGGAATACAAACATCAAAAGAGGAATACATTTCATACTCGTTTTCATGTGAATGATAAAGTATGCGTTGTAGCCATTGATGGTGGAAGTTTTACAAATCTTGCAAGCACATACATGGTCAAGAAGTTGGGACTTACAACATTCAAACATCCAACCCATATGTTTTGCAAGGATTAAATGAAGATAAAGAGTTAGAAGTCATACAACAAGTACTTGAGCCCTTTCTAATTGGGAGATACAAAGGTGAAGTTTTATGTGATGTTGCTTCCATGAATTTAAGCCATCTACTTCTCGGACGTCCTTGGTAGTTTGATAAACGAGCATTGTATGATGGGTTCCTAAATCATTATTCATTCCTCCGTGGGAGAAGAAGAATCATATTAGTATCAATGCCATCACACCAAGTACTTCAAGATCAACAACATCTTAAGAAAAACTTTGATGCTATGCAAAAAGAACATTGTGGGAAAACAAAGGCATTTGGAGCAGTTAAAAATAAGAATATTGAAAAGATTGAGTGTGAAGAAAAGCATAAGTGTGAGAGTGGAACTAAAAAAGAACAGGATTACAAAGATAGCATACGAGAGGAGTATGAAGAAGAGAAATTTCAAAAGGGACATGAGCATGAGAGAAAACAATGTGAGGAGAATGAAGTTTTACTTTCTACTAATCAATCTTTTCTTCCTATTCTTTCATTTGATTTTCAGGTTATTCCAAAGGCCATAGCATTGCAAATTGATGAATCACATTAGTCCATTGAAGTTCCAAAGGTTGTAACATTTGGTATTCCAAAGAATGCGCTCTTTGACATTCGAAGTATGTTCATTCTACATTCAAAGTTCAAATAATCTCAAGAAAGGGAAGTTTCAATGAATCTATCCAATGAGGATCTCAAACGCCCAAATTCATTCATTCATGAAATTGATCATTTTCTTTTCTTTGATTTTGAATTATCTACTTCTAACTTTGCTTTAATTTTCAGAATGATGATTCAAAACCAAAGGACTGAACGTGTGAAACATTATGAGCATAGAGAATGGTGCAAGATGAAAGAATTTCCAATTCGATGGAGATCAAAGTTGTTCCCTTATGTACCAAGCATCGATTTGGGGACAAATCACCTTAAAGAAGGGGGTGATGTGATCCTTTCGACCACCAAGTTCAAATAAAACATGCTCACAACTTTGAAGTTCTTTCAAGATGATTCTAAGGGAGTATTACCTTATTTTATTACTTATTTACTTATTTATGCATTACATGTCACGTGAATATGCTTATATTATTCTTAACTATGCTTTAATATTATATGTATAATATATGATATTCATGCATGACTTATTAATTCACATATTTACATAGCTCATTCAATGCATATGCATTTATAGTTAGCTCATTTTCATTCATAACATAGGTGCCAACATGCATTCATAATTCTCCTAGCTCAATTCCTATCTAATTATTTGTTTACATATTTTTTCTAGGTACATTGGATGCTAGGAAGACTAAAGGCAGCTGAAGTATTAGTTGGACAGTTCACGTCAGTCAGATTGATCACCAATTTTGAACATGGTAAAAGCATATTTGGGTGATTAAGTCTTCTTAACATTTAATACCCTATCTCTTAGATTTTCAACTCACTTTGAATCGTATCAATCCAATAACGGGAACGCAAGATATGCCTAGATTACTGAAGACAGTGCAGGCTGGAAATAATTACGAAATTTGCAACCATTCATCTCCTTCAAAGGACTTATGCATGGGAGGCATTAATAGAGACATGAATGGACAAGAAAAGAATATTAAAATGAATCAGCACATTTGTGAGATGGTTCAAGGATTCATTCAAAGGCTTTTAAGTTCATCCATTCATGTATATTCATGCAAGAAGCCGAATAGTCAAGTTCACATAAGGGGGGAAGAATTTCAGCCAAAATACTTTCATGAACATTCATCCATATAAGACAAATCAACAAGTTCACACAAGGAGGTATGAATTCGTCCAAATGATGCATTGCATTAAAAGATGAACATCCATTTATCAAATTCATTCACCTAAGTCATGCTTTGTACCATGTTCAAAATATTTGTACCTAATCCATGCTTTGTACCATTTATCCAATTGACTTTGTTTAACCAAATATTTGTGAGAGTTTCTCTCCTTAGCTCTTAAGTGAACTTTATCGACTTATCAAGCTTATGCTTGTGGCAATACCCCTATCTATTTCACCCTGATACTTCTGGTTCCTATCTCTTTATAGATAGTGAGTCAAAGTTCCTTGTTTACCACCCCTTAAAGAAGTAATATAAAGTCTGGGTCTTTGTTCTTTACCATTGGTTCTTCTTTGAGTTTTCTTTGAGATACTATCTTTCATCTTCATCTCCATCACCTTCATTCTACTTCCATTACCATACTTCATCATTTCCTTTAAACATATCACCAACTTTTATATATATATATTCTGCTGTCATATTTATCTTTCCATTTCATTACTTCCATTTAACCATTTTATTTTTTAGCTTTCTTGTTTGCGCAGGATCCTTGTTGCTTTCCTAGATCGAAACAATCAAAGGTACAACCTTGATTTCACCATCCATCCAAGTGAGGCTAGGTTGAACTATATCATTTATGATTAGGGGTTACGATTTAGAGTTTATGATTTTTTTGGTGATCCCTAAATTCATTCTAAAAAATGAACTTATGAATTTTAGGGATTACGATTTAGAGTTTATGATAATTTTTTTGGGCTTTTTAGGAATTTATGAGTTTTTTGAGATTTTCTAGAATTTAAGTTTTTTTTGGGAATTTTAAAAATTTCATGGGTTTTTTAAAAAGAAACTTTTGGAATACTGACTCATGTTATGCATATTATGTATATTATGTTTGCAGTTAAACTTAAATGTTAGTATTGAAATTGGTAAAATTGAAATGTTGGTGGCATAAATGAGCCCGAACCTTAAGGTAGGTGGTATTTGAAGTAGTTTACCCTTAAGTTTATAAAAGGGTAAACTACGCCGTTAGTACCTGAACTTTCACGTTTGATCCGATTTAGTACCTAAACATTCAATTATTTTAAAAGCGTACCTAACGTTTAATTTTTGTTTCAATTTAGTATCCCGCCGTTAAAAACTTAACGACAAAGCAACGTTGTTTTTTTTTAATTATTATTTAATTAATATTTAATTAATTTTAATCAACTAATAACGGTGTCACCACCTTATTCGAACAAAACCAACAAAAAAACATAGAGGAAGGCTTAACAAGTTTTGAACCTGAGTCAGCCGAGAGTGTAAGGGAGGCACTCAACCATCTAAGCTACACCAAACCATTGGTTAGTTTCCAAAGTATACATTTAACATATACTAGAATATCACTATAAAATGCCAAAATTATTATTTAACTTATAAAAATTTTAAATTAAAATTAAATAATTTATCATTTAGAAATAAGAAAATAATTAAATAAATATTTAAATTTATTATTTATATTTATTTGATTAAATAATCATGAAAAATATTAAATTAAAATTTATATTCTATCCTTCAAATTTTTAAATATTTTTTTATATCTATTTTCATAAATGATTATAAATTAGAAGTTTATATTTAAATTTTAATAATTAAACTAATAGAAATAATTTTAAATTGAATTTTTAAATTTTAAATAATTAAATACATATAATTTTAAACTACTTATAATATAATCCATATAAATTTTAAAATAAATTAATATTGATTTTATAAAATATATAAATAATTATTTAATTATATTAAATTAAAATAAGTTAAATAATAATTTTGGTATATATTAAATTAATTATTAATCTGATTTAATGATCGAATATTTTGGGAGATGTCCTAAGTTAGAATCATATATCTAACAATTTCCTGTCATTTTATGATGACAACTTAGTATAATCCTCCAATTGGATGATTTTTTAAATTATTTTTAATATTTTAAATGAATAATATTTCCACATCAAAGGATCGCTGGTGGAGTATCGAACCTCGGTCCCTTGAAAATGAAGCAACGACTCAACCACGGGAGCAAAGCTAATATTTGTTACATGAGTTCATATGGTTTTATATATTATTTTTTATAGTACGACAAAAAAATGAAAATAAAAAGCTATTAATTGGATTCAAACATGAAATTTTAATTTGGAGTGTGTGCACTTTAACTATCAAAGTAAATCAAACATTTGAAAAACGCTTACACTATTGTTTATTGTAAGGTATGGCTCAAAAATATACCGGTAAAGAGGACAGGGGATGGAGCGGAGTGAGCGAAGCGAACATCAACTGCCCTTACAAAGAAAGTCTCGTAGAGGGGGTTACGATTATGTGGGTTGTACAAGGTTAATTTTGTAATTATGTACCAGGGTTTTCTATTATAAATAGAGATGTAACCTAAACCTATGAGACATTGAATAAAACTTCTAGCGCCGCCTAGGCACCGAGGACGTAAGAACATTGCCGAAC